TAAACCATAACTCAAAACAATTTAATTATAGTTTTGTAAATGTATTGCCATTTAAATAGAGTTTGAAATTAAATTTTTACATTTATTTCCTGTCATTAATTCAATTGTCTTTATATTAAAACTTAATTTAAACATCGATTTAATGCTAAAGTTTTCAATCATTTGATGGCTTTTTGTGTTGACGTAATTAATGGGCGATTATTTTGTTGACAATGTGTTCAAGAGGTGAGTCTGAGTGCGGATCAGATCCGCTATTATTGGCCACAAGTAGTGGTGAGAAGAGTGTTAAGCGAAGACATAGTGATGACGAGGAGGAGGACTCCGACCACAACAATGACAATAAGATCAGTGATGGAGAAGAATATGACGTAAAGGGTTTTGAAGAGAAATACGACAAGAGATACACCGAAGAAGATAATGAGTACAAGGAGTGCATCGATAGGCCAACACCTAAACCACCGATTCTTATGGGATATTATGGCAAAAATCGCAATAGAGATGGCTTTGGAGGTTACGATAGGTCCGGATCTCGTGGCAGATATGATGGCAGAGGAAGAGGTGGAGGAAGAGATTCGTACAATCATTCCTACGATCACAACAATCGGAGGCCATATCACAATCAAAGACCATATGAGAGATACTGAATAGGAATTGAGTCGTCGATTAAGTGTTTGAATCAAATTAAGTGATAAACCATTTAAATCATTGAAAAGACATTGCATTCAAACAAATCAATTGTCACTCGTATTTAATTTCATATTTTATACCAAAAGTGTAGAAATATTTACAAAACCAATAAAACCATTGCTTTGAATGTTTATTAATTAACTTAATTATAGAAATGATTAAATTTGTCATTAATTTCTATAAATTAAATCAAATATTTAGTGAACTAAAGACAACTCAAGAGCTGAAAGAGTATTACAGTATTAGTGGTCGTAATTGATGTGTAAGTGATTGCCATCGAAACCAATCATTAATTTGTATACAAAACTGACGTGTCTTTCAGTGGCAACAGTTGACACACATTTGGCCCGAAGTGGTGTCTGGAGGACATCCCGAAGACTAAAAGAGTAGTGAAAGGCGTGGTAGTGTTAGGATGAGTTGGCTGTCGCACCTGTTGGCCAGGGTCAATTACCCCATGTATTGTGTGCGGACACTATCGGAGCGACACATACTGGTGGCGGGCGGTGGCGGACCCGCCAAGACTGGAATCGCTAACACTCTGGAGGTCTACGAACTGCTATACGACAAGACAACCAATTCATGCAAAGCCCGACTCATCACACATTACGACACGGGTTTGTATTGTCGCCCAATTTGTGTCCCAATTTTGAACTCACCATTACTTACGCACTGATGGATAGGTTCCCGAGCGGTGATGAATATGTGTGTCGTCGACAAAAGCAATTACTGCTATCAACTGTTCTGCGGAGGAATGGATGGGATGTGCACTCAATACGACCTTAAGCTCAATGTGGAGAGTAAACGTCGAGAGAGCTCTTTGTCGCCCTCCAGACGTGAGCGCACTTTCTCGGAGACGAGTCTTCGGCGCCGAAGACTTAGTTCCAGATCTGATTCTATAGACAAAGAGAACGATATTAACGCTAATAACAGTCCGACAGCAGTACCAGAAGCGGAACCACTGAAACAACACTCGCGTAAAGACTCGAAGCCAAAGATGACGGACGACACGAATGGTGTCCCAGACTTTAGTTTTGATATAAAACAGCAAAAGATGTTTAAAACCGATTTTAATGGCGAAGAATCGTTTCAAAAGATCGTTAAATTCTCGGCTGAGGCTAATGTGTTGATCACTGCTGGATCTGATGGTCACATAAGGCTCTGGTCTCTTCCCAAATTGGATCAGATTCTAGCGATTAAAGCCCACGACAACGAAGTGGACGGTCTAGACATCAATGGCAACGGAACACATATAGTAAGCGTTTCTCGCGATTCAAAGGGCTTTATCTGGAATACAAACGATGGAAGTCTTAAGATTGAGCTCAAGTATGAATTACCGGTCGATAAGAAGTCACAGAATGGTAACCAAAACAACAACAATAATAGGAATGGATTTATAAATAATAACAATAATAATAAATACATTTATAAAGGATGTCGTTATTCCACTGTCGAAGGTATCACTCATACCAATACTTATTATCTATTTGTCACTAAATGATTGGTTTATTTTCAGGTGATATAAATAATGTAAAGTTATATACAATAATGAATCCAATGGTGAACTCGAAGCCACAGAAAAGTTCCTATATTTGCAAATGGAATACTCAGACATATAAACCCGAAAAGTTGGTCTCAACCGGATTTGAAAGTCTGTCTACAATGGCCGTCAGGTATGTGTCGTTTTCAACATATTTGACTAATTATTATAATTGGATATTTGTAATTACAATATACTCTATGTCTATGCTTGATATCAGTGATGAGGGCCGGTATATAGGTTTGGGTACTCTAAACGGATCGGTCGATGTGTACATTGCGTTCAGTTTGCAGCGGATATACCACTTGTCTTCGGCGCATAACATATTCGTGACTGGAGTAGAATTCCTCAACTCTTCTGTGGCCGCACAACAGCTGACCGGCGGTAACGACGCCTCTCTGGTCAGCGTTTCAGTCGATAATCACATTGTCGTCCATCAGATTCCCAGACGAGGTATTTGCTAATTGCAGACATTTTGTGGATTCAATTTGGTATTAATATGTGTTTTATTTGACAGCAACGCTAGGGTTTATCGGTTCGACGGCATTCTTCGTGATGTTTATGTTAATTGTTTATATAGTAATGAGTTATTCAGGTCTTTAGCGAAATTGTGATTTTAATTATATTTTTATTTTTTGTTAATTTCTGGATTTTTAATTATATTATAAATATATTTATTGCGAACAATTGTCGTTTGAAATGAGATGATTTACAGAATAAATAAATTATTTATAAGCCCTTTTCAGCTCGTTCTTGATGTCCTGTAAATGTCCCGTTAGATTGACTTTGGTTTTGACTAAATTGGCGGCTCGAATGGGCGCCCCTTTCAAGCCCTCCTGAAAACACACATAAAACCAAATGAAAGTCTAATGTCTAACAAAACTATTTATTTATATAAAATAAATGGTTTTAATGATAGACAATGAACTTCAGGTAAATCTGCAATTTTGTGGCTCTAATTAAAAGGGAATTGGAGTTTACATTATATTTATAGTGAGAACAATGGGATCATTGTATTTAATTCGACCATTTCATCAATGAATGCCATTTGAAATGTTTGGTTATTTGTTAATTTTGTAGTAATTTATTAGTATAATATTATTAAAGCTTAACCTTAAATGCAATTAATTTGGTTTATATAAATAAATCAATAACTAATGTTATAGTTGTGTTAATATGATTAAACAATTTAGGATCCTTTCAAATAGCAATCATACTCTCGATATCAATGATTGAACGAACCGTTTGCTTCTCGAGTTTGGTTTGTTCATCGATTCGTTGCAAAATCTCCTGTAGATTAGTCTCCAGAACCAGACCTCCCATTACTATCTCATTGAGTATGTTATGTACCTATCAATCAATATGTCATTTACTATAATGTTTAATACATTGGATTCGATAATTCATTTAAATAGTTATAATTATGAATGGCTTTTGTAATAATAAGCCGATAATACCTTATCGGTGTTGAATATTAAATCTAATTCACATACGGTATCAAAGCATTTATCGAGTGCCTCAACAAAAATCTAATTAAAGTTTCAAATATTGAATGAATTAGAAAATATTCAAATTCACAATTAATAGTCTATACTTGAATCAAATCAAGGATCCCGAGTTCGCTCTCAGCCGTATCCGCACAGATCACAAAATATAGTGTCGCGTAATGTCTGTAAATGAGCTTAAAATCCGATCCGCCGACCAGTCTATCCATAATTATTATATATTTAAACATTTATTTTACGGTAAATCACAAAATCATTTGTGTCTTACAGTCCCGCGTGAAGAAAGTTACAGATCCTATCGTCACGACTTGAGACCAATTGAAATGTCTCTCTAATTATCATCTGTTGTTCGTCTTCAGCCTATTGTCACAAATAATATAACAATCATATTATATATATGAATCATACATCATATATTTTAAATATTAATTTACATAGTGTTCATAAAATTTACTAATTCTTGGTTTTCCTCTGTGGTTAAACACTAGAACCGCGCGAATCATTGTATTTAACGTCCACTACTATTGATTACAAATTCAAACAATTGTACACTTTTTCGTTAAAATGTTTAAAACTTGTCGTAGAAATTATATTTTTAGTCAAAACAATGAAATCAATTACTAATTGACGATTAGATAACTTTATCGATCATTTATTCGGAGATAATTTACTGAATGCATAGACTTTGTATTGAATGTATATTTGAACACTTGTTTACGAATAGATCAGTTAAATGGACTGAAAATTGTTGTTTAAATCAATTGAATGTTTGTTCAGTAATCTGTCCTAAAGTATGTACAAACTTAAAATATGTAATTATTATTGCATTTAATTTTAATGTTTTTATTTAAGTTTTTATTTGATTATTTACTATTATTATTGAAATTATTAAAAACATAATTTACATGCTTTTCATATAATTATTAAGTTAATGATTGAATGCAAACACAATCTAATGTAAATACATTTTATTGATATAAAACGAGATTCGTTTACATTAAGTGAAGGCATAACAGAATAATGCAATCAGTAATGAAAGAGTTAGTTGTGGGCAATGACTCTGCACTGTCCGTAATTCAATTCAAACATTGTGTTTCCATCGGAATCTGGAGGCAGTTCTCTGCAGTGATGTCTTAAAATGCATTTCTTAACCAAATCCCTGAGACCAGAGGACATGATCTCATTTCGTTTGGCCGCATCCTTCTCTATCAAATACTTTTTGGTCAAATTTGGATAATATGGCAAAAGTACTGCAAATCAATTCAATTCAATCATTTTAAATGCATTATTAATAATGTAATAAATGTCATGAATATTCATACTATTCTTAAACTGATCGCTTGGGTAGAGCTGTCGAAGGGCTGAGAATTCAATATCAATGCCCTTAAATCCAGACTCAGTGAAAGCTGTCCTCCAGTTCTCAATTTGTTCACTTTCTGTAGGAATTTTGACGAGTTTTTCCGCTTCTCTCTTCTCGTCCGGCAATAAATCGTGAAACAGATCCCAAAGAGTTGTAATATTGGTGTATATTTTCCCATTGGGTGCGAGAAATCTGAACAGATTTTTAGCGGCCGTTTCCTTGTTTTCAATCCAATGGAGAACTCGATTGGAGAAAATAAGTGATACCTTTCCCTCCAATTGTTTAAGAGTCGGGTCTAAAAGATCCCATTCGGCGCTTATATCCTGAACCACATAATTGATTTTAGACGCGTTATAGTTAGTCTTCGCAAACTTAATCATTCGCATATCGATGTCCAATGCTATCAATTTATCGCATGATATCCTTTGATTCAAAAGTGAGGTCACATTTCCACTGCCGCACCCGATGTCCAATACGATCCCAAACCTAAATGACAACAATTATATCATAATTATGTCATTATTTCTATTATATTAAGTAATAGAAATGCCAAATGTGTTCATTAATTAATATTTGTAAAACATTTATAAAAAAATGTGAGTAATGTCTCACTTCTCTCCATTTTCATCAATGATTCTGTCGATGAGATTATTGGCGTCACGAATGTGTGCATAGTTTACACGATTGAATTCATCGGTGTTTATGTCCATCTTTGTCGGCAATTTAAATTAAAAGCTCGTCTTTTGTCTGAACGGTTGGAAAGAGTTTATAAAATAAATATATTACTCGTTTTTACCCAACAGTCTAATAGAGTTACATAATTATCATCTATATTTTGATTACTAAAACTGTATACAAAAGTCATATGAAATCAAATAACTTATAGCCTTATCTAAGAGTTAGCTACAGTACAACACAGAGGCGTTTCATATAAATTTACCAATATTTTAGATTTAATTTTTTAAGCATTTCATTAAACAAGTTTTGCTTATGAATTAGATTTAATTCCTAAAAGACGCGACTTTTTAGTAGTTGTAATCTTTTTTGTTTGCGTATATTTTAACGATAAATATCTACAATTTTTTTGTCGTGTTATTCACTCTGTTATTCACTATATGTTTGCGTTATTCCCAAGGCTTTTAGACTATGATTTTGTTTATTAAATAACTTTATTTGCGTTTCAAGGATTAAAACATTGATTAAAACCACTTCTTCTGTAAGGAAAACAAAATACTGTATTTGAATAATAATAAAAAATACAACTAATGCTAACAAAAAATGAAAAGTAATTTAAAATGATTAAAACGCTAAGAAAGTGATTGTTTTGGTCAACAAAGGCAAAGTCGGAACTGAACTTTCGTTTTCAACAAAATAGCCGTTTCTTGTTTTGCATACATTTCACGGACTTTTGATTTTAAAAGTCATTCGCGAAATAATAATAACTATCTTTTTCAGTGAATTTTTAAATTATTGAAATCACGAAACAATTTCTCGAAACTAAAAAAACAGAAAACCAGTCAAAACATAGTTTAATGACAATTATTTCGTCGACTAATATATCGTATCATTAATTCAAACGAATATCTCATGAAATTTATATCACAACTTATTTAGTAATTAATATCCATTTTGAATAAATTATGTGAAAACTACTCAATAATTCACTATTAATTGAATTAAATTTTCTCACACTTTCACTGACGGAAGAAAATTAATATATTTTTGTCATAATTGGGACAAACGATTAATACAAAATTTTGTAATACTTTAACGACTACAATACGGGAGGAAAATTAACATTTGTTTTCAAACAATACAATTAAATTAATGTTATATAAAGTGAATAACAATTTGCTTTCATTCTTGGTTTTAACAGATAAAGCATTGGATTTTAACAAATCAATTGTTTTCAATTCCTTTAATCCTTTTGTTCAATCATTTTAAATTGAATTAAAAATTTACAATAAATTATTTTACTATTAATTGGAGCTATAATTTATTACATGATAAAAGCATTTTGTTTTATTACAAAATGTGCGGCACAGAAGCTATAATTAAACTCAGTGTTTGTTATAATTAAATGTACCTTTATTTTATAGTGTTTTGATAATTATAGCTATTATTATTTAGTTAATTAATGACGGCCCTTTTTAATATTATCTAAATTTAATAAATATAAAACAATTATTTATATTTCAAAATATTTTATTATACAATATAATTTATATAAAGTAAAGTATACTACTACTTTATATTGTATACTACTGTAAATTTGTTAAATATTTTATAATAATTTACAATAACTTAACAATTGAGTCCATTTATAGAAAAATTAATTAATTTTCATGTTTTGCTTACAATACATAAACTAATCATCCATTGAAGTAATTATGGCAAGAATTAGAAATCAATTTAATAACACAATTACTTTGAGTCATTGCAATGTTATTATTAATAATTATCCTATATTTTAATTGTATTATTCATATCGACCTTCACTTTGTATCCCATTATAAGAAGTCATGAAATAATTTATTCGCTTTTTTAGAGACCTTTGATTTAATTTCACTCAAATTACAGACAATTGAAATTTTTGATGAATTTTGATAAAAGTCCAAAATTATTCACTCTATTGTCTGATTTGAGCAAAATTTGTTTTATTTGTTTTTTGTCTGTTATTAGAAATAATTATTATCCCCAAAATGTGACTAAAACTTTCATTAAATTTTATCTATATTTAAATTTTAGTAATTTTTATTAAAAGAGGAATTGATTAATAGATTTGTGAATTTAATTCTACATTTGTTTCCTACAACTGAAACATATATTTAAAGACAGTAATGATTTCACGCAAGAAATAACTCAAACAAGTTATGAGAATCTCAGATATTTTACGAGACATTAGCAAAAATTGCAAACAGTATTTGAATATCTGTTTCATAATTTAGACAATAATAAGTTATTTTAATGTAATTTTAATTAAAAAATTTTAAATCATGTATTTTCATAGAAATATATAAAAAGTAAAAGTAAAAATTCTGGTCATTAGATAACTGTTGCCTTCAGTTTAGGTTTATTTGGAAAGAAAACAAACGATTGTTTGTGAAAAAGAGTGAGAAAAGAATAAGTATACGAATGGTTGTAGTGTTAGCTCACATCCCATTAGGAATTGAGGACAACTATAATTTGAGGCCTAAGTTATACGAGTGATGGGAATATCAGTGTTAAGACATATAACGCTCGACACACACACACTGTATATTATAACAATAATAAATATAATAATAAGTTTAAATAACTGGACGACAATTTTTTGGCCCATTTATTCAAACAACTTGTTTCTCACTCGCCGTGTGTTTTAGTGGTTCTCTGCAAAAACAGTTGCGAATGAAAGCGACTTTTTTCTCTCACCTCTCCATTCCTTCTGTCATCTCGTCTTTGAATCTAATTATTATATATTTAACACAAATTTCATAAAGAAATTGAAGTGAATTCAAGTTCACTTTTATTACTTAAACACATCGCTCTCGATAACTAATATCTAGAGATGTTTTACATTAAATTAGTTTTATTATTCTTTCACGTAATCGTCACAACATATTGTGCACCCTATGGGCCCCACCAATACCCCAGCACTGGACAACTTTCCTATAAGTAAGTTTTAATAAAACGTTATATTTTAATACTATATCATTACTCTTTAGTCGTAAAATATTATAGTTTAGTTAGTTTTTATAGACGTAATTATAAAGCAGTGTCTAATTTGCACTAATTATGGCAAAAATCTTATCACAATCTATTTTCGGTGTGATTTATATAATAGAAAATCATATAACTGTGTAAATGATAGCATAAGAAGCACAACACAATAATACAATAAAATAATTAATTAATTGGCTATTAATAAAGATTTATGCGACAGTGAATTAAATTACTATTTCTATAAGTATTTTTTATTAAACTTTTACGAAATATAGTTGATAGTTTAAATAATTGTTTATAATCGGTGTGGCTTTTATAATTTATTTAGTTTGTTTTGGTACTAATATTACCTTTCTAAATGATAATTAAAAAATTATATTTTTAATTTTTATATTATAAATCAATTTAAAATAATGAAAGAATTTAAATATTATGATATAACATTTTAATGAAAATCATTGTAAGGTATATTTAACAATTAGAAATTGTTTATTGCTATTCAAACTTAGTGTTGCAATAATTTAGATAATAAATAAAATTACTTTTAAGATATTTTAGTAGTTTTTATTTTATATTTTTTTAAAGTAACTTCTTTGATGAGAAGTGTATTTTGGAAATTTTCATAAAACCTATTATTAGAGCATTGAATACATACTCTAATAAATAAATAAATAAAATTTAGTTTCAATAGTTCTCATAAGAAATTTATTTAATGATTTACTACTAATAAAACACAAAAAATAATAATAAAGAGTAAATTTTATTAAAAATATAAAACTATTGTGAAATAAACGAGAAGTGGATTCTAAGCTTATTTACTAATTTTAATAAAAATAACAAATATTGGTTATTTTTAATCAATAAAACAGTTATACAGTATTGACAAAAAATGTTTGAACATTTTAACACAATTTACAAACTGATGATCCGCTTATTGAATGCAATTAAGTGTTAAGACAAGTCGTTAAGCAAAATGTGGAAATAGAGTATACATTATATATATTAACAAAACCACAACTTAATAGTGCTTTATTTTCTCAATCAATCAGTGATTTTTGTTGTTGCAAAACAGTGATTGTTATCTACTTTAATGTAAACTAATAATATGGTAAATAATAAGTATGTTTCAAAAATTATCTTTTATTTCAGGCTATCCTTCCACTTATAAGCTAATGATTTAATAGACAAAACAACAAAATCAAAAGTATTCATAATTGTATATACAAATTGACAAAATGCTTAATTAAAGCTTTTACCACATAATAGTCAAAAAGATGGTCATTATGTGAATCCTTTCAACAAATCATTTAACAAGAAATAACTAATAATAAAATAAGTTTTTTGATGACTTCCTTAACCATACAATAATATTTACATAAATTAATTATTTTGACTTATATTTTATATAAGAAAACTTTTATATTTATTATGACATACTATTCATACATTTAAATAATGGATTCAATTATTTATAAACATATAGTTTAATATAATTTATTTATTTTCAACTTTTCATAACTTATAATGACTTTTGTCAGTGCATAGTATTTATCGCGAAATGACATTTAATAAATTATAATTATATGATTTTATATGTTTTATTTGTATTGTTTTTTTGTGAAAAAAGTTTTCCGTTGGTTAAAGACTTTACAGGAGTGTTGACCCCAAACAATATCTTAAGTCGAGCCACGAAAATATGCGAGAATGGTATTGTCGGTCCGACCTCTTTGGCCATTCATAAGCATTACATCTATACGGGAACCGCTGGCGGAGGTGTATATCGATGCGATTTGCGGTCCGGAAACGCGACTCGTATTGTCAAAGTGGCCAATGATTTGTGCAAATCTAAAGCCTGGGATATATCGCTCTGCGGCCGAGCGCTGGGCATCAGAACCGATAAGAAGGGAACCGTTTTCTTCGTCGACGCGTATTTAGGTCTCCACGAAGTGCTTTTCGTTGGCAATAAAGTTCAGGTCAATCGGTTGCTCACACTCGAGGAGACGGGCGGCAAATATATGGGACACTTAGCCATAGATGAGGGTTCGGGTACTAATGGGGGAAATGTTATTTATATAACAATCGCCAGCACTAAAAGGGATCTAAACCAATGGCCGGCTATGATTATAGAGCCGGACAGGACTGGAACTGTCATCAAATACGACGCCGACACTAAAAAAGTGGAGAATTTAATGCAAGGACTTTGGTATCCGACGAGCGTTGAGATCACTGACGATCGCAACGCTCTTCTCGTCGCTGAGTTTACCGCCAGACGTGTTGTTAAACACTATATCAAAGGTTTTTAAATTAATTAATTTTTGATTCTATCAACACTTAAAACTTTTTACTAAATTAATATTTTTAGGCAAAGATAAGGGAAAGACAGAGACATGGGCTGAGAATCTTCCGGGAGAGAGCGATCACTTGATTAGAAGTCTTGAGAAACATCACGAAACATATTGGATGCCAATCATTAACGCCAGGAATGTTAGTAATCCTAATCTTATTGATTGGATGAGCGACAAGCCATGGCTTAGACAAGAATTGCTCGACAAATACACAGACATCGGAAACAGTATCGAAGAATTGGGCAAAAAGGAGAAGAATGATCGGCTCGAGAAACTGGGCTTTAGTATGAAAACTGGTTCACAATTTTACACACAAAACGTGGCCAACAATTACGGATTGATATTAGAAATAGACGCAAACGGGAAGATTTTGGGCTCAATTCACTCGACGGACGGCGCAAACAGTTTTATATCGGAAGCAGTGGAGGGCCCGAGCGATAACCCATACGAAAGAGTGCTATACATCGGATCATTCAGTTATCCATATATATTAAAACTAACGATTCCTAACTTTTCGCAAGATATGGCCCCCTTTGAGGACCAGAACTTTGACTTCTCATACCGTCAGCCCATTTCCGGTTTAAATGACTTTAGGATATTTGGCAACAGACCCTTCAATCGTGGTTACGATTACGCCATTCCCGACATCTAATCCACTTCATATATTATTGTGACTAAAAATCTGATTTTTATTTGATTTATGTGTTAGTTATTTAACTATAAATATTGAATATAGTTTTATGTTAAGTTTATTTTGTAACGAATATTTAACTCTAATTTCAATATTTACCAAAACATTTAAAAATATTTATTAATTCAATTTTAGTTAACTTCACTTAAAGGTTTTAGTTATCACGTTTTACTAATAATCACTAAATAATTAAATTAACTATTTAGAAGTTTACTCAATAATCTGATGAAAATTTTACTGAAACTAAAATTATGGATATATTATACAGTATTAAACATGTTTAATTATCAATTAAGTTATAAGGTGACTTTTAATAAAATTAAATCGAGTAAAGCGTTAACTGAATAATTGTTAAAATGAATGCCAAAAGTTATTTTCACTCTCTTTTATTGCATTTAAACCAGAGATCAATTAATTAAATTATAACTTTGTTTATAAAATATTTAACTAATCATTTTATATATTTTCGTTACGATACATTAAAAAATTATATTTTTAATTAAATAACAAATTGTTTTTAACAATCATTTTATTTATAAGCACTCATTATAATAGATATGTTTGTATTTTATACCAAATGTAATTAAGATTATATGCATTTCTCAAATGAATAAAATTTATTATAGTTTTTAATACATTTCAATCAAATATATTTCAGCAATACATGTATATTTGTAAATACAGGTAATGAAAATATAAGGTTATATGTTATCATTAGGCGATATCACATAAACACACCGATAATAATAAGTATGAAAACTAATGTGAATTCACGTATTTGGAGCACATTTAAGGCATACTTAAAGCATATTTAACACATTAGGTGACAATCAAACACACATTTTCATCAATTATTGCTGACCTTTAATTCAAAACCAAAAAACTCATTGCATTCACAAAATTGAATCAGACTTTCGTCTTTGAGGCAGACGTATAGCAATTGTATTGAATTATCATTAAATTAAACAAAACTTTCAATAAAAATCTGTTGTTAAAAATCTTCTCAGAAAAGTGCAGATCAAACCAGTAATAAATTAATTGGTTGTAAAATTCAATTATAATTCTATAATCACTGCCAATAGACTTACATAATAATTAGGTATCGACTCATTGGGAATCAATTCAATAAAACAATTTCATTTTCAATGCCGATCGCAATTCATAAAACTGTAGGCATAATAATGTCCGAGTCATTAGATTTTATTTTTTACAATCACCTAATCGTCTAAGTCATGACACCGGGAGCTCATACTCTCGTCTCCATTATAGTTACCATTTGTGTACAACTTATTAGATCTCAAACTCAAGAGTCAGTCGTCTGGACGTTAGATAACTTAATACCAAAAGATTATAACAAACACACAATTCCTGTAATTAATGGCTCGCAGATGACTATATCTATTGGTATTGAAGTCTTTGATTTGGTTAGCGTTGTCGAGTCCGGACAGGTTTGCCATCAATAAAAACTTATCAATTTGTTTCCACAACTATTTCTTTTACAGTATTTTATAATGGATTTTAATTTTCAACAAAAATGGAAAGACCACAGACTTGTGTTGCCTATCAATATGCAAAGGGATAGCAATATAATACTGGACTCTTCGTGGGCGTCCAAGTTGTGGACTCCGGACACCTATTTTAGCAATGCTTTAGAAACAAAAATTTTAAGTGTCGTAAATCCTATAATATATTACACCATAACTAATGATAAAAATGTATTGCAAAGCATTAGAATGAATGTTAAATTTCAGTGCAAAATGGATTTGTCTCAATATCCACAGGATATTCAATACTGTTCGGTCGATATCGCCAGCTGTAAGCAACTTTTCATTTATTTTTAATAATAATTTACTATTTATTCCAATATAAAACCTGATATAATCAAGTGATTATTCTTTCCGTTTACTTAATGGATAAGTTACCCATTAAAGTGTTACAAAAATATCAACACTATATTTAGAGTAATTGAAATTTTATTGTTATATAATGTTACACACTAGAGATGCAACATGTTAAAATAAATGTTGTATGGTTTATGCATACCATATACAATTATATATATTTTAGGTAATTTTATTTAATTGCAACAAATATTTTTTTAAATTTGTATAACTAGTGACGAGAAATAATAAAAGTGTTTCATTGGAATGGAATTACTTCAAGAGTCCACCACTCGATGATAACCCAAAGTTTCGCTTAAGAGATACCGACATAGGATTGTGTGAAAGACAAACACATTTGGGATATTTTGGTTGTTTGACCGCAAAGATTAAATTAGTCCGAAGGGTCTCTTATTATGTAATCCGTGTCTATGGGCCCACATTTCTCACTACCATCTCATCATTCGTTGGCTTTTGGATCCCGGTGTTAGCGTGGCCAGCTAGGGTATGAGCTTTCATTTTATTAATTACATGTTAATTTGGATACAATATAATAATTTAAATAAATAATTCAATTGTGATCGATGTGCAATACAAAGGTGGCCCTATTGGTGACTCCATTGTTAACATTAGTGACCCAGAATATAAATGTGAATTCCGAGATCAATGTGTCATATGTGGTGGCCCTCCACTGGTGGATGAGTGTGTGTATATTCTTCGTGTTCATGAGTCTAATCGAGTTTGCAGTGGCCATATCGTGGGCGTGGATGGCCAGCGATCGGAAGGCACTCAGAGCCACTCAGGTCTCCATTCTTAACCCAATTGCAACTCTTTTTAAACCATTTTGTTTATCGGTCTGTATTCTAGGGGTTCACAGAAGTGCCCAAAACTGATAACTACACGAATAAGCGAGCGTTTTGTCACTGCGGAAGACTTGTTGGAAATATCTTATATTATGTCTTCGGAAATATTGATTTCACAAAAGAGCCGTTGAATAGAAATAAAGTGGATTACGCCTCAAGAATTATATTTCCCGTAACTTATATTATGTTTGTTGTAATTTACATATTATGCACAATATGTCCATGGGCAGTCGCTTACAATTGGTGATCATTTTGTATAGAATTTTTGGCTTTTTATTATATTTTAGTTGACATGTTTTGTTTGCTTTTATAAGTTCTTATAAAGAATTTGTTTGAATTTGTATTTAGAAATAGCAAAAATGATGTTGGTTAGATTCTGTTTTGTTAATTTAACAATATGTAAATGTACAGTGTGTAAATAATAAATAAACATTCTAGACTCTAGAATCTAGAGTTTAAGCCAGCATTTAATTAACATTATATTCATCGTGTTATTTTTATTGAATAAAAGCTAAATTAAATTATTTATCAAATTTATATTTAAATAATACAATTTAAAAATAAACTAGCTTTAAACAATTTTCTATACTTACTTTTTAATATTCTTTTTTGTTTAAAATGAATGAAAATAAAGCCGAGAATTGAAAATACAGTATAAACTTCTTGTACAATATAATAATTAAAAATATTTTGATTAGATTTGGTACTCAAATAAACTTATTTTACATCAAATAAAATCATTCGGTAGTTATATAAAGTAGAAAATAGATATAAATGTTAACATTGAAATCACTTTATTAATAGAATAATAAATATATTAAGCAATTAATATTATATTTCGTCAAAAGTTAAAAAGAATTTTACAAAAATGACAAACAAATAAAATTCGCCCAAAAAATAATAATTTGATTTAAAGATATGATTGTAAAAATATTTAGACTTTTACTCCCGACGAGTGGTTTAAGAGTAAAGAATTTAATTTCTTGAGACCATTCATCGCATTTTCATCCCTCCATTCACTTAAGCTTTTGTTATATTGACTCTCAAGTAATGAATAGAATCTTAGTATTCATATTAAATGTATTCCTTATTCATCAATCATTTTCATCAGTCATTCAAAAAGATGATAGGAATGTGAGTAAATCATTGATTATATTGATAGAATTTCCCAAAATGTTAAATTTAATAAATAGCATATTTAACATTAATCAAAAATTATATTTACTTTAGACCCTCGCGGCCGGCGATAAAATAAAAGTCGATATTTTTTACGAAAATCTAAATGTTGTAAACAGAAAATTCTTTGTAGAAGAATATCGACCGGTAATCGACTACTTATGGGACATCATTGAACTCCAACTGATTCCATACGGAACTACGGAGAAAAAATCTGAAACTGAATTTACGTGTCTGTTTGGCGACAACCAATGCTATGCTAATAAAGCTCAGGTATTTAATTGAATACTGTATATGAATTTAATTGATTAGCAGTAATTTGTTACTAAGGCATGTGCTTTGGTTATAATTGCCGATTCGTCTGCGCCGCCCACCGATGAAGTGCTTAAAGGTTTGGCACTTTATGTTCACTGTATGTTCAAGAATAAGAAGCTTGAAGCGGTCGATAAGGTGGCCGCACATTGCGCTACACTTGACTTAATGGACGAGTGGCCAGATATAGCTCAATGCTTACACAACGCTGACGGCGATAAGTATACCAATCAAATGGAGGCCAAAACAACACCAATAAAAGATAATCTGAAGAATGGATTAGCCGTTCAAATTGATGGGACGTATAGTGAAGCAGCCTCAACAGATTTGATAAAGGCCATTTGTGATAAATATATACCGGTAAGTAAATATTGTATACAGTATATACTGTACTATTAACACATAATTAATAAATTTAAAAAATAAAACAAATAATCTGATTAAAATTAATTATATGTGTGGATAATAAAATTGGCCATACCTTTGTCACCCTGCTAAAATTAATTGTTTAAAATAATATAAATATATCATTATATAGAATTTAAACTACCGTTATCAGACATTTTAGCAGAGTGACAAAAAGCTGGCCAATTTTATAATCCACAGAATATTCTAAAAATTGTTTAACAACGGTAAATTGTGGTTAAGTGTTAGCACTGCTAAATTACCAGTGTATATTTATATTAATACAATAATTTGTCTTTTTTAATTGAATTCTAAAGCCAGAGTCGGGGACTAAACCCGGGAGATGTAATACAGCAAAAGCAAATAAAGTGAAAATGTCATTGTTTTATGAGACACTGAGCCAAGACATCCGCAACTACTTTGACCATCAGTTGCAATCATTCTATCATATTCTGGAAGATATGGTTGAACTGGAATTAGTTCCCTATGGAAATACCAAATACGAGGACAATAAGTTCACATGTGTTTCCACCGATCTCTGTATGGCCAACAGAATTCATGTATTTCTATAAACATTTACTAAATTTCAATGAAAAACTATTACTTTAGCTAATTTAATGATTAAATACAAACGATAGGCTGTAGTTATAAACGATTACTACACCACCAAAAATGGCGATGAAGTGGACGGTCCGAGTCGTGTCATTAATTTCATTAACTGTATGGCCACTCATAAGCAATGGCGAAACATATACACAGCGGGAGAGCAATGCGCTAATAATCATTTGCCGGGCGACTCGTGGGGTAATATCTTAATGACCGCAACGACCACTGATGGCGACCCCATCTATACGCAGATGAAGGACAAGACAGAAGCGGTCAAACCTTCGCCCGGATCTCCGTTTGAAAGGCTTCCCTTCGCTACCGTCGATAATGAGCCAAATATTCAAGCGGTCAATGATTTTGTTCAGCAAATTTGCGCCAAATATGGAGTAAATATTTAATATATGTTTAAAAACTGATATTTATAATGTCATATCAATTATATTTATCAGGGATTTAAGCCGTCTATCTGTACGCGGATTGAAGTTAAAGTGTATTACGAGGCACTCAATCACAAATCCCGGCGCTTTATAATGGAGGAACTGAAGCCAGCATTCAATCACTTTCAAAATCTAATTAATTTAGATCTATTACCGGCCGGAAGAGCAACTAGAGATGAACATGGTGGATTCTTTTGCCCTGATGGTCCCGACCAGTGCACCGGTAGTCAACTTCAGGTACAATTTGTCACAAACAAAGACAATAGACTGAAATTCGTTGACCACATAATTATTTGAAGGCTTGTATTGTTGACGAATTCTGGAACGACGGCGAAACGTGGGCCGACCCTATCAGACAATTTCAGGTACAATTTGTCACAAACAAAGACAATAGACTGAAATTCGTTGACCACATAATTATTTGAAGGCTTGTATTGTTGACGAATTCTGGAACGACGGCGAAACGTGGGCCGACCCTATCAGACAAGAGGTAATGGAAACGCTGTATTGTATGGCTCAGAATAAGCACGCGGTCGGCATCACTAAAACTGCTCCACAATGTGCTGAGCGTTACATTGGAGACAAAGCCTGGGAAACCATTACCACGTGTATGAAAGACGAGGTGAATGGTATTTTTGATAACATCATACAAATCACGCACAGCTCTGGCTTTGATGTAAGCGAACAAACGATACCAATCGTTACAATCGATGGCAATGGGAAACCATTACCACGTGTATGAAAGACGAGGTGAATGGTATTTTTGATAACATCATACAAATCACGCACAGCTCTGGCTTTGATGTAAGCGAACAAACGATACCAATCGTTACAATCGATGGCAAGATTAATGAAGAGGCAAAAACAGATCTCATTAAAGTCCTTTGCGAACACTTTGTAAGTTTTTTTAGTTTTATTTAATTATACAATAATAGCAATAATTGTGTGCCAAAGGATGAGGACCACAGACCAGACAAGTGTGAGACAGGAAAGGCGCCCAAAGTCCAGATCGGCGTATATTATGAGTCTATGAATTCGTTATCAAAAACTTTTTTCACAAAACAAATGCCAAATTATAAGCACATCGAGGAAATGGTTGACATTCAACTCATGCCAAATGGCAACGTCGAGGACGGCACTGCTCTGGACGGCGTGTGTCCCAACTCTCTGCCCGCGTGTACCGCCAATAAAATACAAGTAAAACATTAATAATTACTGTTAAAGCGGTTTTATTTAAACGCATTAATTACTATACTGTACTGTATAGGCTATTATTATAAATTACTTATGGCTAAGCGATGATAATGGGGACCAAATCGATGGTAGTATAAGAACCACACACCTGTTGGAGTGTGTATTCAATCACGAGTACTGGAACAGTGCCGACGAGTATAAATATACGACAGCTGCGCGACAATGTGTTGAACAATATTCGCAATTGGATTGGATTAGCGTTTGGCTCGAAACCAAACTTCCGACCGGAGATGCCATATATAAGACGGTTCAGGAAACCACCAAAGCTTTGAAAGATAAAATACCGGCCACTCATCTCTCGCCCATACCTTATGTAATAGAGACCGGGAATAAACATAACCTTAAAGTGGCCAACGATTTACTGCAAACTGTTTGCGAATTATATGCGGTAAACTTGTTTATTTAAAAATTATTACATTTTTATTTTTATTAAATTAATAAAATCCAATGTTTAGGGCGACAAACCGGCCGAATGTGAGCCCGTAATCGTCGAGATATACTACGAAACATTGAATCCTCAGAGCAGAAGGTTCTTTGTTGAAGAACTCAGACTTACTTTTGAAAACATTAGGGAATCGTTTGTTTTTGATTTGATTCCTTTCGGCACAACAAAGATGAGTGGAACCGGTGATGAAGTGATCTTCGATTGTACGTATGGCGAGAGTCAGTGCTTAGGCAACAAAATTCAGGTA